GTGCTCAAACCTCAAACAACCGTTTTTCTAATCAGATATCCCTTCTCTGGAAAAACCAACGCCGAATTCGTGATCCTCGACCCCGAAAACCCTTCGGTCAACCCTTACTACACATATTAATAATTCATGCTTAGTTAGTAGGTAGTTAATTAATAGTTAATAATCAGTTAAAACTAATCTCAGATTCGAGTTCCTCGACCCCGAAAACCCTTCGGTCAATCCTTATAAAAAAATATCTTTTTGCAAAAAAGTGAACCGTTGTCGCAAAAAACAGGACAGATAGTTTTTCCGGAAAAACTAATATCGGATTCGTGATTCTCGACCTTGATTACTTCAGGTGAATCATTTCCGTATGGTTATCTCTAAGGTTTCATTGGTTTCTAAAAAGCTGCAACCTGATTGGATTGGAAAACTCACACCCTGATTGGATTGGACAAACTCACAAACTTTTAGGTTTTGAGCCACCGATTTTAGAACGCTATAACCCTTTCTTTCAGAAAAGGGAATAACCTTTAACAAAACTAAAAGATCTGTTCTGAATACACATCTAATTCTCTACTGTCTCTTATTCTTCCAACGGTATCCGAGTTTGAGATTGGTCAATCTGGGTATATAAGTGTTGGGCAATTAAATGAGAGTAATGAGTGTTTATTAGTCTATTGTTTTTCTTTTGAGATTTCGTGTCAATCATCATTCTATCAATTTTTTCGATTGCATTTCTCTCTGTTTTTTTTCAATATATGAGACGATAGAAAATTAGATGTGCATTCAGAATAAACATATCTTTAGTTTTGTTATCAGATGTTAATATAGTGGAGTAAACCTAAAAATACCAATAACATGTCAGTTTTGGAAGTTCACTTACAAGAAATGCAATAACAAATGCATATTTACATATAGATTTGTAGAGAACTGCACAGGTTGTCCGAATCTATTATTAATTTCATGGCAATGCTAACATATGGAGATAATTATTGCGATCAACACTTATTGAGTATTAGTTTTTCCTATACTGGTTCGCGATGAGAAGAAAGATAGGACAAAATAAATAATTGATCGGAAAATAGATTTCATATTTGTGCTACATTTATTGTCGTAATTTTTGGTATGCTAATTCACATATAATTAGTATTCCATTCAACTCAATATTCGAATTATTTTCTTTAGTAACATCAGACATCTTCATTAATACGAATACAATACTTTGAATGTATATATATATGCATATTGAAGTTTGTGAAGAACTACCTTACCTGCTAAGCATTTGATTATTGATGATCAGACACATTGTAGAGCACTGTTTGATTTGTTGTCTATCTGATACTCGAGATTCTCTAGACTTAAGCAAATGACACGAGTCATAGTTCAGTTGTCCTACTACACGAAAAATAGAATTATCATTCGTTGCACGACTAAGTTAGACAAAGATGAAACATCGATTGAAACATCACACCAGTATTTGATCAACATTAGAAACTTCTCTATTGATAAGTAGAAATATTTATCTCATATGCTCTTTAATTAGTTTATTTTTCGTGATTCAAATTAGCGGTTCAAGTGATTATATTCTACCTGAATGAGCAATCATATTTTTAATCAATACTTCCTTTCCTAGTTCATAGTTTTCTTCATATATTGTACTGACAATTACTTATCGAACCATGAAAACATCTTTTTGATGAAATTAATAATTTACTCTAAACTATCTGGATTTCTTATACCAATTTCGACTGAATGTGATGACGATGAAAGAGCATTTTTGTTTAGAACGACTAACGTAGTACGACTGTAGAAGAATTGACTAGACGAATGAGTGATTTTTCGCTGCTATGCAGAAGAGTCTGTTTACTAACAGAACTAATGATGATATGACATTTAATCTTTGATTTCAAGCTATAAACAGATGTAAAATGAATAATAATTCTTTCAATATATCTGAAGATATGAGCCACAGCTTATGAATATTCTAGATGTGCTACTTTCTTTTGTTCAAGTGTAGCCATGATTTCATATTTATTATTTTTATATGAGCAACAAGGGCATAAATAGCTGTATTTTTGTCGATCAGAAAACTATCGAGTTGCAAATAAATTATTTAAAACACGATAATATGTTCAGTTTTTCTCTCCCAATAAACTGCTTCAGTTGATATTGACCAGTTATTTTCAACTAACTGACTAATATAATAACATGCGTAGCTGGTGAATGTATTCCTCCCGTTATACTGAAGACCATTCTGTAACAGAAGGCTATCCGCATTATAAGATTCTTTTCGACAAAAAGCTGTATCACGATATACCCTCTATGAGATCATTTCGATCAGTATGATGACGAAATTTCATTCTTGAGTAATTTCATTTACATAGCGAACCTTTTCAGCATTCAAGAACGTTTGTCTTCTTTTCATCCTTACACACAATCGTCTAAGGGTAATTCAGAGTAAGATTACAAAAAATTGATAATGTTGTGTTTTTCTCTCTCCAACTGAATCTGATAGAGAATGGATCCTTTTTGAAAACTCATTTACCATCTGTGAATCGAAAATTGTTGAGAAGAGGAAGAGCAAAGAAACGGGTAGCTTTTGCCAAGCTCAAAGTCATATTTTCTGCCATCTACGCGGATGTTCTCAACATAACAGAGTAGAAGGATCATCTCAATGTTAGTTTACCGTTAGTGCGAACCATCACTAATGCTAACACTTTGGCCATTATACTACACCTACCGTTTTCTATCCACTGACGAAAGAATATCCTTCTTACTATATATCAGAAAAAAAGAAGATTAAGTTATTGCACAACTTTTTAGTCAACCTCATTTATGAACTCATTCTGTTTTGGACTAGATAGTTGTCGAATACATGTTATCTCATCATACGCGCAAAACTATCTTTATGTTTTACTCAATGCTCATGGACTCAAAACACTTGAATTGCTCTTAATACTACGAAATAAAACTAAGCTATATATTTTCACATTTCCTTTTTCTTTTTCCTAATTTAATTATAATAGATTTCTCTCAAATAATCAATAGCTTACTACGAAACACCTATGCCCACGATATGAAAATCAAATATCCCCGCAATATTCAATCATCAAACTATCAATAACTTCATCCAGCATACTGCCGTCCTCCGTTGAATTAGATTTCAAAATGTCCTAATCTACTTTTAATTTCTTTCTTTTAATCCAAAAGCATTCAAAAATCGAAAACACTGAAAATAATAGTTTCGATGGATCAAACAAAACACGCAATAAAGTTGTATTTTGTGAATCTCTCACATAATCGATTCAACAAAGTCACAGATGAATTGTACTCAATTGAACAGACGCCTATATTCATCATATTCTTCGATAATCCGACATGTCTGTATAAAACCCGTAAGCTAAATTATTGTTTAACACAAAATAAAACGCAATGAAGCTTACCGTATTGCCCCAACGAAAAATCAACCAAGTTTTCAGCTCTGTCATGTCTAAAGCCATTGTAAGAGAGATCCAGTGTAGTAAGTGTCTAAACAGGAGAGTATTATGAATGAATAAGAAAGTGAAAGTGTGCATGTTGATTACTGTATTGTCCTGAAGAGCACCAAACAAATCTTGTGTTCCTTCGTCTCCAATACGATTGCCAAAAGAGAGATTCAGAGTAGTAAGTGTCTAAATAGGAGAGTAATACGAATGAATAAGAAAGTGAACGTGTGCATATTGATTACTTCGTTGATTCGAAGAGCCTCGGCCACGTGTAATGCTCCTTCGTCTCCAATATCATTATCCCGGAGATTCAATGTTGTAAGTGTCTAAACAGGAGAGTATTGTGAATGAACGAGAAATCGATGTGTGCATGTTGATTACTGTGTTGATTCGAAGAGCATCAGCTACGTGTAGTGCTCCTTCGTGTCCAATACCATTGTAAGAGAGATTTAGTGTAGTAAGTGTCTAGATAGGAGAGTATTGTGAATGATCGAGAAAATGAATGTGTGCATTTTGATTACTGTGTTGATTCGAAGTACATCAGCCAAATGTTGAGCTCCTTCGTCTCTAATATAATTGTTAGAGAGATCCAGTGTGGTAAGTGTCTATATATAAGAGTATTATGAATGAAAAAGAAAGAAAGTAAACATGTGCATGTTGAGTACTGTATTGATTCGAAGAGCATTAGCCAAGTGTTGTGCTCCTTGGTGTCCAATATCATTGCCCTCAAGATTCAGTGTAGTGAGTGTCTAAATAGGACAGTGCTATGAATGAATGAGAAACTGAGAGTGTGCATGTTGATTACTGCGTTGAATCGAATAGCATCAGCCAAGTGTTGTGCTCCTTTGTGTCCAATCTTCTTGCGATTAAGATCAAGTGTAGTGAGTGTCTGAACAGGAGAGTATTATGAATGAACGAGAAACTGAAAGTGTGCATGTTGATTACTGTATTGATTCGGAGAGTATTAGGCAAGTGTTGTGCTCCCTTCTCTCAGATTTTGCTGTCTCCTTCGCTCACTAGGATTAGGATGTATATACATTTGATATGTAAGTGAAGAAGGAATAGAAAATACTCTGTTAACTTATGGCGTCTTGATGAATGTGGGAATTCGCTCTGATGGAGTAGGTGAAGTTCACTATTCTGTTCATGAAAAGAAGATAGATTTACTGATAGAGGAGTAATATCAATAATCGAAGTTTAAAGTATTGTATTCCGAATGATAAAGTTTCTGTTCGTCTCATTATTCTTCTTAGTTTTTGAGATGACGATATATTGTGTATAAGATTCTATGAGTGTTGATGTTTCTACAAATACCTAGCAGCGGATAGCAGAAATTGTTTAGAAGCTTGAATGTATATATGAAGAGACCTGAAAATGATGTACTGGTTATTTGCAGAAATTCGCTTCGTCGTTTATTAATCGTTTGTACATGAATGACTTCTTTGCGTCATGATACATTGACCCAGGTCGATCATTCCGGCGACTGGATCCGTTGAAAGCTGAGCCGGTTCCGGTACAGCTCTTCTCGATTCCGGCACAGTTTTCGCCGATTCCAGCAAGTTCCGACAGGTTCCTTGCCGCCGGATTCCGGCCGGAATTGGACAGGAAATATCCGATCAGTTCCTGACCGTTTCCAGCTCGAAGTTTGCAGGAAACGGTCGGGAAATGACTGGAACCTACGTTTGAACTTCCGGCCGGAATCCTGCGGCAAGGAAATGGTCGGAAAACGAACCTAACCGGCCGGAACCGACCGTGCCATAATAACCTGGGGACATCCGAAAGGATAAATTTGTACCATGTCGGTCGTACGATTGTTAAGAAGAAAGGCGACTGATTACCTTACATTTACTAGCAATTTAATATCTTAAGGTTCTTAGAGGATTGTGTCTTCGTTTTCACTTGAGAGAAGTTTTACAGTGAATGTGATGGCACGATGTGAACTGGGTTTCTGTCATTAGCTGGTATTTTACGATACTAATTATTAATAAGTAAAAATCTTCGATTGAAAATGGATTTATTCAGTGCATTGAAGTATGAGAACGTAGGATTGGATCAAGACATGTGATTATTTAGTACCCGCAAGTTTCGTTCGTTCTCTTATTCATTTCAAAGCAATGTAACTTAACAGAAGTACGGATATATTTTTAGCAAGAAGAATTGAGCATGAGGGTGATTGATTAGTACTTGAACTGGATGATAGGGAATCGTAATATGTGGGAAAACTGTTGTGCTCAATATGAATTCAATGTGTAGAAAATGAACGCCACTGAATATCTTATTCGATAGTGGAAAGAAGAATTTTTAGACTGTCTCATCTAAATGTAGCACTATGCAGATATAGATCCTGTGTTCTTCTAAGTTCGGACGAAGTCTTTCCACGTTTTATTCCCGTACACATTTACCGCTATGTACTCCTAATTACTGCAGAAGTGCATGGTGAAGATTCTGATACAGTTTATCTCTGAAACTAATGTGTAACTCAATTTTTCTAGTAATCTATAAAGAAACGTGAACTTTTCGGAAAATAAAATTTGGTGGCAGCTTTTATAAAACAACTCATGGCATCAGTACTTCATTTCAGACATATGTCTCATACTCAGCAGTGTGACTGAGTGCTTTGATCCGTTTAATATAAAAGCGTTGATCTACCCGATATGGATGATAGGTATAAAGGATTTGATTGAGTCGATCGGAGACATTCTGCATTGAACAAAACAGATCAAAATCTCTTAGATGATCGAGAATTCGATAGACCAATTCGACGGGTAAGGTGGTTAAACTGCGCATTGTTTTTATACTGATTTGATGTGTGCCGGTTACTTGTTTTGATCGAATGTATGTTACTTACTCTCTTTCTCCTTTTTTTTCTTTTGTTACTTTCTTAGAGTTGTGTAGCAACTTCTTCTTCGCTTACCTGATGGAAGAACCGAAAAAGACAAGAAGCCAGTAAGAAAGACATGATTTTCATACGAAACAGATGGCGTGCACATACAATCTGTTACTTATAAATTTCAACGCTAATTTTTCTCACATTGTCAAATATAACGAAGTTTAACAAAATAATGCAATTTTAATTGAAGAAAGACAGATTTTTGACTTTTTCGACGTTTCGTCATCTCGGATGACATCGTCAGGATACCACGAACTATACCATCTCATTTATTGTTAGCATTTTGACTTCACTATAAATAAAAATTATGTAGTAGGTTATGGTCAGTTAAATATGTTCTGCTTACTGGGATGATGTTGATGTTTGTTTTTATTGTGGCTTATTGATTATTTTAGTATACCACCGGGAAAAAGAATCAGTGGAACTGAATGTCTGGTTCGGTTGAGTACTGGATCGTGGGCTTTGATTGCCAGAAATTCTTTTATCTGAAGTTTGTATTGATGTTTTTCATGTGAGAGAATAGTAAACCCTTCCCAGTCCATTTTGTGTCCCGTTTGATTTACATGATCTCCGATTGAGGTTTTGCTGTTTGTTGTGATGTTGTACTGATTGTTTGTATTTGGATTCGTAACTTGGAGTTGTATGTTATCAGACTGATTTGTTCTTTGCTGGATTCTTTCGGAGCGTCGAAGTTCATTTAGGGATGGATATGGTTGGTGACGTCTGTTCCGTTTGGATCTGATTGGTCCTGTTGTAATTGTTTCAGTGTTTGTTAGTGGTGCTTCAAATATTATTTTTGGTGCACCGTGTTCCAAGAGACGTCTGATGGGTTGTCTGGTTGTATGCCTAATATATGTATGACCATAATGAATACAGTTGACTTGATAAACTACGTCAGCTTGTAAATGTTTTGGCACTGGATCTTTTGTATTAAAGTAGGTCTGCACTGATGGTGGTGTTTTTGTGCAGAAACGAACATCGATATCAGGACGTATCTTTCCGGAGATACGAGTTAGTTTTTACTTGAACGAGTTCGTTGATAACCGTGTATATGGTATTTGCACGTACATTTTCTGTTTTTCCCATCCAATTATGGGATCTGATTTGGATTTTTATGATTTTCTCAAATATTTACTGAGGCCGATTCCTATTTTCGTATTGAGAAATGACAACGGATATCCATTTTTTTAGATCTGGTTGACGAATATTTTCGAACTCGTCTGTTAATAGTTGGTACGTTGAACATATAGAGAGAGCTCTTTGTATCATGCTGTCAATGCAGCTCTTCTTATATTGAATTGGAGCGAATGATTCCCATTTAATCATGAGTCCTGTGAAAGAGGATTTTCGAAAAACAGTTGTTTGGAATTTCCTGCTGCTGTTGATGTTTTACAACTTCAATGGTCCTTACAACTTGCGCATTGAGAAAGGACAGGCGATCATCCTTCTCGTCTTCGTAGGTAAATTTGATAGATGGATGGAAATTGTTCAAAATTTTCAGTACATCTGCAACTTCAGTTGCTGGCTCCAGCAATACAAAAGTGTCATCAACAAATCGATACCATTCGTGAACTCCACATTGTTGAAGTTGATCCATCAAGCTTTTTCCCAGATGTGCCATGAAGATGTCAGGAATAACGGAAGCTAAGGGAGCACCCATAGCTACTCGTAAAAGAGCAGCAAAATCGGTTCTTTTTCTGCAATTCTCACATAATTTGTTTCTGGAATTATTTTCACAAATAGAAGGACATTTTGGATACATATGATCAAGTATGAGATCGATGGTATATGTCAACGGTACATTGGTAAAAAGACTGGTTACATCAAAAGAAACCATATTTTTGTCTGCATATTTGGACTGTTTAATTTTGTTAACAAAATCGAATGTATTTTTCACCATATATGGACTGGTACGTAGTTCTTGCAATCGATTTTTTAACATTTTACCTAGTCCATAGCCTACTGTTTTTGTAGCTGACATCACCGGTCGAGGAGGATAATCTGGTCTATCCGATTTGTGTATTTTCGGCAAACCATACAAACGGGCTGGTCTTGAACCGGCTGGTTTTGCCAAATTGTATTCTTCTGCAGTAATAAAACCTTCTTTTTTAAACAGTCCTAACATTTCGAGCAGATTTTTTTCGTTTTCTAACGTCACTAAGGAGTACATTCATTTTGAAAAATATTGGCTACATGACGTAAGTGGGATGCTGTATTCAATTCGGCCGGCGTAAATTGATGACGGACGTTCAGATTTGCAGGTTTTGATTCGTAATGTCGATATGGAGTTCGAATATTGAGTAGACGAGAATAAAAATATTCCATATCGCATATGAATTGTGGTTGATTAAATTTTTCTGGTGCATAAACATGATGTAATCCATTAATACGAGCATCATGCTCATCCTCCGATAAAGTATATGATGATAAATTTTTGACTGGATTCAAACCTGTTCGACGTTCAGGAATATAAAAAGAATCGATTGCACGTAAACGATTCAGTTTTGAGCTATGTTTATCTTGAATTTTTGTCATCCTTTTGTTCACAATTTCTCCTGAAATGATCATTAAACCAACATAAATCATGTGTGGCACATTTTCTTTCAGTTGTTGCTCCAGTGGAGCTACATGTTTAGCAAAATGACGTAAACAATGTCGCTTAAAGTCAAGTTCATCTTGTAAAATTTTATCTTGACATTGCCGAATTGTTTGTGAATTAGCTAAACGAGGGATTGACACACGAAATCTAAGAAAAATGAGGATTAAACCCTCACTTCTGCAAGTACGGATGAACGAAATAGCCAGATTTAACTTGCAAATTTCCATACGATTTTTCACCAATGTACTGAAAAAGTCCTTTGTATAGACACCATAAAAGTACCACAGATAATCATATACATTAGGGGGGTATAATGGCAGAAAACGAAAAAGACATTTGCTGAGTACCACTGCTTTCAATAAAGTATTACTAAATTGAACCACGGTATTTTATAGATAATAATATAATACAATACATATGAAGATACACGAATAAGTACAACAACGAAACCTTATAATTTATAATTATAAACAATACACACCATATGTGATGTACAGGGTGTACCAAAATTATAAGCCCCCCTAACACATGCATTGAAAAATCTTTATCTTACTTCCGAAATAGAAGACGATGATCATCTAATGGTATGATGGTGTATGACTGCATAAGTACTATCTATCAAGCTAAGTTTCGATCTGCGTTTCCCTAACAGTTAGAGAAAAAAATACAAATTCTTGAAAACTTGCTGTACCATAATTATAAGACCCCTATACTAAAAATGGATTTCTTGATTTTCTCGAGCAGATCAACGCCTGATTTCAGGGATCTTGCTCAGAAATAAAGTAAATTCCATGTATTCCTGCCACTCTGTGCTATTATTTGTCAAAACTTTCTTTGAAATTCTAGTCGTTATGAGAGTTTCACCAACGTCTTACTACTCGCTCTGTAGTCCAGGGCATGAGATACGTTTTTAATGATTTTATACATTCATAACTAGTCTCGCAGACATGTTTCCTCGAGATAGCATCGTTCTACTTGAAATTATATCGACCAAAGCGTATTTTGATAGAGTTTGATAAGATAGATAGGACGGGAGCCCACTATCATGTGAGGTCCCATTAAGAAAGTTGCTGAATCCCAGAATCATTCGACACGAGCCATCGGATCTAATGGTACAGTTAGATAGAGCGCATCAAATTGCACTAGAAAAGCCAATAGATACAATATAGAAATCCATTTCTCACAATATAAGACCTTGACACCTAAGTTTGCCCGATCATTCAATTCACAGGATATTGGCTATCGTCCTTGGGTTCTATTATAGCAATTGAAGAAGAAAATAAATCGAAGTCTCTCCACTTTACTGAGATTGGCCATCGACTAAATATTTCAAAAACTTAGATAGAGTTTTGCGGAGACAGCGTATCAAGAGGATATAACTAGATTACTTATTACTTGTATATGTACCTATGTGTAGAGATCGGGCAAACTTAGGTGTCAAGCTCTTATATTGTGAGAAATGGATTTCTATATTGTATTTATTGGCTTTTCTAGTGCAATTTGATGCGCTCTATCTAACTGGACCATTAGATCGGATCGCTCGTGTCGAATGATTATGGGATTCAGCAACTTTCTGAATAGGACCTCACATGATAGTGAGCTCCCGTCCTATCTATCTTATCAAACTCTATCAAAATACGCTTTGGTCGATATGATTTCAAGTAGAATGATGTTATCTCGAGAAAACATGTCTGTGAGACTACTTATGAACGCATGAAATCATAAAAAATGTATCTCATGCCCTGAACTACAGAGTGAGTAGTAAGACGTTGGTGAAACGCTCATAACGGTCAGAATTTCAGAGAAAGTTTTGACAAATACTAGCACAGAGTGGCAGGAATAGATGGAATTTACTTTATTTCTGAGCAAGATCCCTGAAATCAGGCGTTGATCTGCTCTAGAAAGTCAAGAAATCCATTTGTAGTATAGGGGGCTTATAATTATGGTACAGCAAGTTTTCGAGAATTTGCATTTTTTTCTCTAACTGTTAGGGAAACGCAAATCGAAACTTACCTTGATAGATAGTACTTATGTAGTCATACACCATCATACCATTAGTTGATCATCGTCTCCTATTTCGGAGGCAAAATAAAGATTTTTCAATGCCTGTGTAAGGGGAGCTTATAATTTTGGTATACCCTGTACAAAGAAAGAAAAGTCAAATCTTTTTTCTGTTTTACTCACATTTCATTTCCCAATGAAATGTTCTACTGCCATTGATTTGACTAGAATCAATGATTATTTGCCAACTCTCTCAAATTTTCCTGAAGAAGAAGAAGTACTTCTTCTTCGATTTACTTTATTCAAAGTGAATTCAATTGAAGTCGACATTCAAACGAGACAATATCTTATTAATCTTATTAATGTTCCTGTACGGAAAGCATCATTAATAAGTTCATGGAATAAATTGAAAAATTAACCAGAGATTGAAAATGACACTCCAATCGATAAAACGCGTTAAAACTGAAAGTGCATTTTACAGTGACGTAACCAAGAACACGCTAGATGGGTCACCGCTTGCCCACCCACAACTTTTGCCTGTGAAGACATTCCTTTTTTCTTGAGGGTGTGAGTTAAGTGCAGTCTCATATACGGATTGACCGAAAATGTCGAAAAGAAAAATGTCGAAAGTTAATGTCGACGTAAAAAGAGGGACTTACAGAAAGATGCATAGTGGAAAACGACGAAAAGAAAAAAAGTCGAAAAATAAACTATCGAAAAATATTCTTCAATAGAAAATTAACAAAGATGTATTATTGTTGTAGTAAATGTTGTATTCTGTATTAAAATTTTTATTAAAGATGACAGACAATTAAAAAAATATGAAAGAAGATGTGTAGTCCTAAATCACAAGTTTCACGCCGATTTTTACTTTTTCCTTCCGACCAATAATGATAAGGCATTTAACAATTGTTCACTATTGATATCCTGATTGTTATATCGACTATTTAAAGTCTCGATTCGCTTTTGCGTTGTATCAGCTGCCTTTGCTTTTGGCAGTTGTTGTGTACCGGCATTAATTTGACTATATNATTGATGATTTCTTTATGACGACGAATTCATGATCTGATCTTAAAATTCAATTAAATATTATCGAGACAAAAGATGCCAATATTCGAATTACTACAACAACTAGTTCAAAAATAGAATTTCTTGATGTACAAGTTGAAAATAATCATGGACAACTAAGAACTTCAGCATTTCATAAAGCAGCAGCTGAACCCTATATTATACCATTTTTATCAGATCATCCACGTCCTGTTCATCGTAATACGATCAAAGGACAATTAATTCGAGCAGCACGTCTCTGTTCTCATGTCGAAGATTTTAACAACGAAAGATTGAATATTGAATTTACTTTACTATTAAATGACTATCCACCAAGATTTATTTCTTATCATTTTAAAAAATTCTTTCAACAAAATAATATTTCACTCTTAATGGAAGAACTAGATCAAACAATATATCAAAGGTTTCACCGACATTTAATAAATAAACCAACACGAAGAGAACATCAAATGCAGCAACAAGCATCAAATATAAGTCAATGTCAATATACAAATAAGAAAGCGATTCGTGTATATTATACTTTTGAAACTGGTCCAATGTTGAAATTCAGCGATGAATTACGAAGTCTATGGAAAAAACACTATCAAGATAATCATCCAATTATGAAACATGTCGCTATACAGATAGGTACAATATCCAATAGAAATCTAAATCAATTACTGGTCAAAAAGAAACCGCCTGAAGCAATGTTAATCCATGTTTCACGCAATACCACGACAACAGCACAGGATTAACCATCATAAAGTTTATTCCATACTATCATAGACATGTAATCATTTACAACCTCTAAAAACATTACAATATGAATACTCATTGTCTTATATCATTGTCGTCCACACGACGTTTCTTTTCATCGATTTTACTATTCCTCTATCTTTTTTCTTTCTTACTTCTCCTCTCACAGAAGTTAAAATTTTAACCCGAAGATATTTCTTTACCTTCTTCTTCTTCTAGATATGATGATCGATCCTTGGAAAAGATCGAAATCTAGATCGTAGGGTTCCACTATATATAACTCACACCCTAATTCTGCATCGAATGGTGATACTTTTATTCACGGGACAAGTTTTAGGATAAAGTTTTAGTTACATTTATATTCTTTTCCTATGAAATAGAAAAAATCTAGATAAAATCTTTCGAAAGTGAGTTCCATGAAAAAAACCAGTTCATTCGGGGTAGAATTAAATTCTACATCGTTAATGGACTGGTTTTTATGGACGGGACTTATTTCTGTAAAAATGTCTGGCTAAGTATGTAGTTCGTCGTGCTATATTCGTGCCGATTGCTTTCATCCAGCTTAAGTATTATTTCCAGCTGTTTCATTTTGATTTTAATCCGTTTCACGATGGCAAATCGACTGAAATAGTTTTTTAAGTGTTTGACCAAAATGTCTTGAAACTTACTCGATTCTTGAAAAACTAAAAAATGAAAATGAAATAAAAAATGATCGAGTATTTATAGGGTCGGTAGTGACTGACGGACTATTGAACAATAGATGTCTGTGAATACAAAAGATCTGTCAAACAAGTTATTTAAATCAGATTTAATCTGAGAAATCGATTAAAATCGATTTTCTATTCGACTAATCTATTCGAACTGATTTTAATGGAATAAATACATGAAAATCCGTTTCTATTATACAAAAATCGATTTTTTTTTGTACAAATTTAATCAAAAAATATGGTGCCAAATCAGATTTTTCGCTTTTTTTTACATGAGTTGTACTTATAATAAAAGTGATGAAAGAAAAGTACAAAGAAATACTGTTGGAGCAATTTGTAAACAATTGAAAATGGAAATATCTGTTCAATTAATTGTGACAATTCATAATTGTACACATCTTATTTCTTGCTAATATTTTGATAATGACTTTGGTATATGCTTCTCCTCTCGTTTCCTTTCCGTCCTCTTCTCATATGTAATTACTGTCTCCTTTCTTTTTTTCTATTTTCATTTAGAGACTAGCTTTATAAGTCAATTTACCTAATGGAGAGATATCAATATATTTTTCTTCTTCTCTAGTGTGACATTGACACTAACAACCCATTCTGATGCACGATATGCGTGTGTTTTTCTTCATACTTGACATAGATTAACTCTTTCTTACTAGAAAAGACTATGATTGTATGATCCTTCGATCCATTACCTCACTAAATGATATCAATAGATACTAGATATTATTTTTAGAGTTTGATATTTTTCTGTATAGCGTAATACTGTATGTATCGTGAACTATAAAAGGACGAGTCGTATACAGTGTAGATACGATTTCTTTGAATTAAATAAAACATACATCTTCTCTTGTATCAAAAATCATCACAGTATTTACGATATAATGAATCTTACGTAGAACATATTTGTCTTTTATATAAACAATTCTATGTGTTCGAAAGATCAATGTACTGCACTATCTATGTTTGATCGTGTACTATTTCAAGCAAGCTTTGAACGAGTATGATATCTTTTCAAGTTCTATAATTTGCTCTTAAAAATAATTCTAATTAAACATTATTTCTATGTGATGTATATCTTTTCGATTACATATTTTTCTTTACATATATATATATATATATATATATATATTGCGTCGAATCAATATTTTAATGATGTAAAGAGAAAAGAAAAAGGCGTAAAAAGGAAGAGCAGAATGAAAAATAATATTCCCCCTTACATTTAAAAAATAGAAACGGAAGAGTAAATAAAAAGTGACGAAAGTTGAAAAATAGTTTATTTACCTAGCAATTTTCTATTTTATTTTGTTATTAACAGTTTACTTTTCGAGTATATGTTCGTTTGAGAACAGTATAGATAAAAAAAAAGATTATAACTTCGAATATCATATTACATCTCTAATAGATATTTTAACAAGAGGGAAAAAGCAGAATTTTTTACTTGAAGCACTTTCAACTTTTTTAAGCATAATTATTTCGAGCTACTTGAGTTCCATTAGCAGAACAATCTTGTTCTATTATTGGGAACGAATTTCCTCAAAGAGAAAAAAATCGTTCCCGTAACAGAACAAAAGTGTTTTGTTTCTGGGAGAATATTCCTAAAACGGAGCACTTAAACGTCATATTTTGAATTACTTTTGTGCTTTTCTATTTCAAGTATATTTTTTCTCTCTTGTATTTTAATCACAATATTTCAAATTCACTATTTGTTAGATGTATTTATTACTATTCTCAATATTCACTGTTAATTTATTAGCATATCAATTCCCTTTAGGGAAACAAGGTCTGTCTGATCCATTTAACAATTTAGATGCAATTACATTTAATGCAAGATATCGCATTTTTGCTCGATTACAAAGTGGTTTAAAAAATTACAATGTATTTTGGTCAGATTTCGAATCATCAGGTATTCCATCATCAACTGTGCCATATATATCATGTCCGAATAATTATATACAAGTTCCTTCGAATCGAAGACAATGTATCTTAGATGGATATCATCGTTTTCGTTGCATTAATAATACAACTATTAGTCAATTCGATAATCTTTTTCAACGTGATCAAGCAGCTAATATTCAATCAATGGGAGTTATTTGGTCATCACCAGCCATCTATAGAAATGTTGGTTGCCATGGATTTCATAGTGGTTCTTCTATGGAAACTCGAGGCTGTGTACCAAACAATGCATCATTAGATGATTTTGAAGATTATATCAATTTTTTAGCTCAACGTTACAATGGATTGAATGGATATGGCCATTTATTAAATTTTATTATCTGGAATGAAGTAGCAAGTGGTGGTTGGTATGATATGTCGCCATTAATAGAAACAGCACATCCAGTTACTGATCCTAATCAAATTTATCTATGGACATCATATTATGCTGAAATGCTTCGTCGTGCACAAAAAGCCTTGAATCGTCATAATCCTAATGCTTTAATATATGTAAGTTTAGATCAAATGTTTAGATCCGATCAATCTCATTGGAATTATCCTGCTAATATTGGAGCAAAGACAATGCTCGACGGTCTTTGGACTGAACTTGGTTTATCTGTTAATTGGTCTATTGCTATTCATCCGTATCAAGATCCAGATCGATTTATTGATGTTGATACATTAAATTTCTTTAATTTATTTACTTTATCAAATTATCAAGCTTTACAATTGATTAGTCGTGGTATTCAAGATTACGAGAAACGATCACAATATTGGATGGCTGCTACTGAACAAGGTTGGCCATTACCACCTACTGTGGGAAAAGAACGTCATGCACAAATTATCTGTGCAGCTCACAATATTGTCAAAACTATGCCGAATATGATTGGAACTACGCATGATAGTTTTCAACAAGTATCACTAGATGATCCTTATGGATTAGTTCCTTATGAAGCTGGTCTCAATCTTGTCAATGCTTCTATGTATCAAACATATAAAGCATTTGTTTCAACAAGTCCATCCTATTGGGGAATTCGACATGATCATTATTGTTGTCAAACTTGGCAGATGGGTTGCAATGGTACAGATTTATTATCTTTATCAATAATTGATGGTGTTATTGATGGTTTTATTACGAATTCGACTACGCTATCAGGATGGGCATGTCTTCATGGAAGTCCAAATGCTATATCCATATTTTTATCAACGAGTTCAATAACACATCAACAAATTCTTGGTCAATTTTTAGCTGCAGATCCTTGTGAATCACCAGTAACAACACGATGTCAATCATTTGGTATGAATTATCGATATTCAATTGATATGCGTCCTTTTCAAGCAACACAAGGAGAAAAATTAATTTATATGTATGGGCGTTCACCATTAGATGGTTCATTTACAATGCTCGAACATTCTGGCACATTTATAATACCCAAACCTTAAAAACAGTATTCTTCATATAAGAATCAATAACAAATACTTTTAAGTACATTTTGCTCTAATCGATATTAGGGGTGGCACTTTACTTTTACTTTACTAGTAAATGGTAAATAAAATATTTACCATTTACTTTTGTAAAGTAAATATATTATTTTCATTTCGTGGTATCATTCAAACACAACCTCTGTTCATCACAAACAGTATCATTAATAGATATATGTGAGGGTATATTAGCCATTTGATGGCCAACTTTTCGATGAACAAGTTTCGACTAGGGAAATACGGAAAATATCGAAAAGAAAAATGTCGAAGATTTTGATTGTGATAAGGATAACGCCGAAAGAGATATATGAAGAAGGAAAACGTCGAAAGGAAAATATCGACGATTTTGATTGTAACAAGGGTAACGCCAGGAGAGATATACCAAGAAGGAAAACACCGAAAGGAAAAGAACGAGTGCATATAGTCGAAACAACAAATGTCTACAATAAACATGTGCTTATCCACTCGATGTGTCATTATTTATACGTTTATTGTTCGATTCGTCTATAGATATATGTGTATGATTTCAGTGTTGCCCTGGATCAGTAGACTAACGTGACTAGTCTAGTGTTACTATGAATTAGTTAGTTTCAATAGACGGCTACGTCAGCACTATTTAAAGCCGTTAACACTCAACAGATCTAAATATTCACCCATCATGAATCCAGCAAACAACAATACACAAAGTTCATCATTAGCAAGCAACATCGTAGAAGATCCAACACGTGTAATCCAATCTGCTGTTTCTTTTTTGGTATCAAATAAACAAAAGCAACTTTTGGTGCATAATGAATATATGTTCAAATGCAATAAAACAACATTATCAAAGAAGTATTGGGTTTGCGTTCAACGTGGTTGTAATGTGTTTGTTCATACCAATACAAACAACGAGTTCTTATCGATCAATGGCAACCACAACCACATTATCGAACCTCATTTATTAATTATAAAACACCTGGAAAATGTCATGAAACAACATCACTTACAAAAATTTACGATGAAGAAATGAAAAAAGCTTCACTTTCAAACGAAGAAATTGCCCTATTACCTTCTGTTGTTGAATTTCGTATGTGTACTTTAACATGATAGGTATTTATAACCACCATTTTTTTCTTTCACGCTAGGGTCGAATATGAGCAAACCACGTCAGAAATTCACTCCGGTTATACCAAAAGCTTGTGTATTTGATATACCACCAGCTTATCAAGAAACATTATCTGGAAAACAATTTTTACTTATGGATTATTACCTGAAACGTGCTAAGCAACGGGTGCTTGTGTTTGCCAGTGATCAACAATTAGACTTACTATTTAACAGCGATGTCATTTTTGTTGATGGCACGTTTAGTACATCATCCGGAATTTTCGATCAAGTGTTTCTAATTCATGTGCAACAATTTAACCAAGGTAAGTAAATCCACCACTGCTGCTATCAACTTGATTTTCTTTTCAAATAGGTCTACCAGTGGCATTCTGTTTATTGCCAAATCGGCGTACAACAACATGTGGAGTTATTCCAACGCTTGAAGGAAGAAGCAATACGAAAAAACAAAATCTTTAAACCAAAACGTATTGTCTCAGATTTTGAATTAGCACTTGTTTCAGCGGTGCATACAGAAGTTCGTCTTCAATTTATTGCCGAGGATTTTTTAAACATGAAGGTTTAAGTTGTTTTAGTTTCCAAATTCGTTGCACTCGGGATGTTATTTTCATTTCCTTCAAGCGATTCACCGAAATATTGCTAACTTGGGTTTGGCATCTGAATACAAAGAAAATGAAACAATACGTGAACAATGTCGGCAATTAATGGCATTATCTCTCATGCCTCCAGCGGAAGTTGAGAAACAGTTCAAGCGTATTCGTGCATTATCATCTGATTCACTGGATGATTTGTTCACGTATTTTCAACGTCAATGGATAAATGGTAATGTGCCATTGACATTATGGAATGCAAATGAATACGATGATCGAACCAATAATATTTCAGAAGGTTAAAAAAAATACAGTTTGAAAGAAATTCAGAATTTGTATTTTTCATTTTCATATTAGCATTCAACAGGCGTTTTGGATCACGTATTGAGAAAAGACATCCTAATATATGGACGTTTATTCGATTAATCCAAGACGAAGAATTTCGATTTGAACGGATATGCATTCAACTCGCGTCTGGTGCTACGAATACCAAAAAATCAACAACGAAGATAGCATTTCAACGTCGATTTGAAGCATTAAACAACAGATACAAACAAGGTGAAATCAATTCGAAACAATTGTTGGCTGGATTCACATTATTAGTTGGAGGGAAAAAAAATAAATATAACTACATTTTTAATATTTGCTTCTTTTTTAAATTTAAAGTAATATTTTTATTATATTGCAAAGATAGAATAAATTAATTTTCACAATATATTATTTTTCGATATTTTCCTATCACAAGACTTCGTGTTCGATGTTTTCCCCTTTTGCTGCTAAACATTCGACAGTTTACTTTTCGATATTTTCCTACTTTTTTTCGACGTTCTCCTTTTCGGTTTTTTCCTTTTCGACATTTTCCACCAAACCCGTTTATTACCTAACTTGATTAAGTTAGCGAAGAAAACATTGTGTTCCTGCTTCATCTGCAGCAGTTGAACGCGCATTCAGTTCAGCTGGTGTTATTATATCGCAGAGAAGAAGTAATATCAATCCATCATT